TAGATTTTGTTTAATTGATGGGTATATCAGGATTTACATCTTTAAGTGATCACATTAGAATAGAAGTAAATGAAGAATAAGAAAATGATGATAATTAAATCAAAGTTGAATTTGGAACTTGTAACAATTATATTTTATTAAATTAGGGGATGAATCAACTATCAAATCACTTAGCTTTTATGGATTTTATATTGGTAATTAAGAAGTTAAATATTATGATTAAAATTGTGCTTATTTATATAGTGAATGTGATTATCAAGGATAAGAGGTGAAGATTTGTGATAATAAAGCTAAATTAGATTATAATGGATAAATAAAAAGTATCAGATTACCCAAAGATGCTGTATTCACTTTATATGGAAAAGAAGAATTTGAAGGAAAAAGGTTTAGAATTGAATCCAGTAAATCATGTATGGATGCATTATATCTTGGAAAATGAGCATTTATATATAATGAACAATTTAATCACGATACTAATATTATTGTTGGATTTTTAGTATTAAAATAATCATTCTAATAACTAATTACTTTATTTTGTTTTACAATAAATTATTTAATAAATTATAAAAAAATGGACGAATTTTTTGATGATCCAGCTGGCACTATAGAGACATATGTAGATCCTGAAGTTGCAGCTTAACCTATAATGTTTAATGATGCAGGTATGGTACTTTGGAAATCTTAATTAAGCCAGATAACCATTTGATATGCCTATTGTACCTAATGCTGGAGTTACTCTAGTGGTATATATATGACAGATTAAATTCTAACTATTTAGAGTGCTGAATAATAAAAGAGAAGAGAAAAATTAAGAGAATTAGAAGAAGAAAGAATTAAAATTGTAAGGGAGAAAGATTAGGAAGAACGAATTTAAAAATAATAAAGAAAGGAGAAAGCTTAACAATATTTATTGCAATTCTAAACGTATTTTTATATATATTCTATATAAAGGGAATTGAAAAATGACATTCAAGCAAGAAAACTGGCAAATAAACAAACTTAAGAACTAAGGTCTTAAAATAAAAGTGAATATGTATTGTGTTATTCATGCTACTCAAGAAAAACTCTTGGGATAAGATAGCATCCAACATTGCTTTGAAAGATGGTGAATATCCTGGAGAAAAAGATGTAGCCAAAATGAGACAAGCCATACTTAACAAGAGGAAAGACTTGACTAAGTGAAAATATATATTGTAAAATATATATAAATATAAATAATAATAATAATATTTAATAGTAACCAATCCTTAATTAAATTATTAATATAATAATAAAAGATATATATACAATCCATTTTTAAGCATTGTTATTCTTTTAAAACTTTATTTAAACAAATTCAGATCATACCAGAATTCAAAAAATCAAAATATTTATATTATTATAAATATTATGATAATTATAAGTTTAAAATTAAATCTTAAAGATATAATCTAATTGGAAATATTTATTTTAATAAACTTATTAATTAAGCTTTCACTCTTCATGCATTGAATTTCTGATTATATTTATTCTGTAATTTGAAACATAATCATAAAAAACTTATTTTAAATAAAATATAATTTTATCATTTTCCATAAAAAGAACCAAAACTATAGATTAATATATTTAACTAATGTATCTCTTTTTAGTATCTACTAGTATTTTAAGAAATTTAGATTTATTAATCTTAATTTGATGAGATTTAGTGTTAAATAAAAGAAATAAAATAATTTAGTAAAAACGTATAGTGTGATTGGAAAAATGAAATTTGGTATGATTGTAAAACATAAATTAAATATGAAATTGATTCTTATTGCTCTTTTGGGATTAACACTCACACAAGCTGTCTTTGTTAAGAGATCTAACGATCCAAGCAAGGCAGTTTTCACACAATTGGAAGCCATGGAAGAACACGAATTAGGAAGAAAATTGTTAGACACAATTGCTCTCTAATTGAATAACAAGGCCCCATTGGGAGATATTGCCAAAATGTTACAATAATTAAGAGAAAACCTTATCCTCAACTAATAAGAAGCTGACTAAAAGCATGCTTAAGATGAAGTTGACTGTGAAACAGAAATCTATTAATATAACAGAAGAATTGACTTTGCATCCAATGAAATCACAGAATCAACCTAAGAAATCTAAACCCTCAGTGCCAAAGTTGAATAATTGACTTAAGACGTTGAAAACAAATAAGTCTAATTAGATATCTTGAATGAATAAGAAACCTAAATTAGAGAATAAAGAGCTGAAGATGCTGAAAGTTTCAAGACATTCGAGAATGAAACAGAAAACGTTATTGAAGCTGTTGAAGTTATCATCTAAAAGTTGAGCTCAATCCAACCAGATTAAGAAGTCTTAGCTGCTTTAACATAATTGAACAAGATTGGTGCATCAAACCCAATCCTTGCTCTTATGTAAGTTGCTTCAACATTCTCAGCTGAATAATTAAACAATGTTCTCGGAAAATTAGGTGAAGTCAGCACTTAATTAGCTGAAGCTCTTGAAGATGCCAGATAAACTGAAATCTAAGCTTAATTAGACTTTGAAGCTTTAGTTGTTGAAATTGCTTCATAAAGAGAATCATTGAGTGCTGCCAGAGAAGATTCTGAAAGATAACTCTAAGATAACTAATAAGCTTTGGATTTATAAAAGAAGAGAAAGGAAGATGCTACTGATGAATTGAATGCTGCCTCATCAGGAAAAGAATAAAAGGAAGCTGAATGTGATTCATGGAGAACTCAATATGCTGAAGATTCTGAACACAGATAATAAGAAATCTCCATCATCAGATAAGTTGAAGAAATCTTAGCTACCAAGTTATCCAACGTTAAGGTTTATCTCTAAGAGAGATCATCAGCTTGATATAAATTTAATTCTTCAACAAATAAAAACCAACTTAGTCATGTTCTATGTAAGCTCTACAATGTTCTTTCCAATTTTCTAATTTAATCACTTTATACTTCTTCACTCTTTCATTGTCAAGTTTTAATTCTTCTAATTCTTGTAACCAATTAGTAATTTGATGATATGACTCTTGCTTTGGAGTAGGACTTAATGAAAAAGGCTTTTTCAATGAAGAATGATCCATTGTAAATTATTTTCCAAATTCATCAAGTCCTGTTAAGCTAGGTAAATGTTTTTACCATTTTTATAGGATTCTTCTTCTCAAACTAATTTCTCCATCTTTTTTTTTTAATTTTGATTTAATCTCAGCTTCATTTCTTTAAGTAAACTAATAATTCATTGGATTTTTATCACGACCTTAATCTTTATCCCATTCCCAATGAGCAAATCGTTTTAATACTCTTTTTGGTCTATCCTACTATGCTTAAAGAAGGTAAGTATGAATTTAAGATTTTGGTATTAATTCACTAACTGACATAGATCCAACATTTTAGTGTCTACACAATCCAGAGAGAACTGGACCTAAATTTCGATCTTCTATAAGTTCCTGCTATTAAAATGCAAATTTTATAAATGTTAATTTGCGATCTTCTAAAGTTTATTTTAAAGAATTGAAGTCATCAACATTTTGTTTGATATATGAAGTTTATATTACTTTTTAAGCAGATTGCTCTTAATTATTAAGATTACTATCAATTACATCCTTAATCCTAAATTTTGTTCTACGTATTGTTTGACTCATATTCTTTATAATATATATAAATTTAAACTAATTTTTTATAATTTCATCCATTTCTTGAAATAAGTTACTGTCCTACAGAGATTTGTTTCTTTGGAGATGCTTCAACTTGTTCTGATGATTTAATATAATCAAGTTGTTTATCTATCTTATTATCAGAAACAGATATTGGGCTAGATGCTTAAACAGAGATTTATTATTATTGTTATTATTATTAATCTTAATGAGTATTAACAATTTCATCACATAATGAGATCAATTTATTTAAATATTCAAGATTAGTAGAGTTTTAATCCCATTAATATATTTAATTATATGCTTTTTTTGCTTATAATAATTATAAATTATTCTTTAATTATTATAATTTGAATTTGATATGTGAAGATTTATACAAAGAAACTAAAATTTCTTACTTATATGGTGTTATTTAATAATTTAAATTGATAATATTATTGTAAAATGATTTAGAAGTTTATTACAATTATTAATGTAATTAATTTGGAGTTAATTAATTAGTTCTAGCAATAAGTGTAGCTTATATAATCTTTTCATTCACATTCTAATTAGTTTCAATCAATAATTTTGTATCTATTATTTATTATAGATTAATTTAAGATTATTTATCTTAAAGTACTTTACATACTTCAACATTCATTTATGATTTAACAGCATACATCTTTTCTAAAGTATAAGTATTACTTTATCTCATAGGAGATGTTATTGCATTCATAACAGTTGCAATTAAGTTATTGTAATCATTATAGGTCAAAATGGATTTATAATATCTTGTATAATATTCATTCAATCCAAAATTATCAAATGCAACAACATTTAATCCTTCAAGAATACTTAAATTTTATGCACTTTTTACTATATCATGTCCATACTCTTAATTAGGAAATATTGTGAATGTCTAAACAACATTTTTATAATATTATAGTATATCTTATAACATACTAATATCTGTGCTAAGATGATGAGTAATCTATATTCCTTGACAGTTATCACATATTTCCATTTCTTTACGTAAACACTCATCTAAATCTAATTAGTAATTATTTGGATTAAAAATAAGTGATTATGGATTTGCAAGTATTTATTCAACATCTCTTGAACATAAGATAGATCTAGGAACATATTTTTTATCACCAATTTCACTAAAATGTACTTCAATTCCTTCTGTTGGTTTTTCACATGTCCTATTATTTTCAATTTAATAGTCTTAAATAAGTTATTCATAAAATTTGCATCCTACTCTAACTCCACAATTACCCAAACCAATATGTATTATTTCTCTCATTTATTTAAGAATTTATAATTAATAAAATTGGTATAACATTACATTTATATACATAAATATATATATTTGCCATCATTTTTACATCTTTATTTCAGCCTTAATATCTTTTAATCTACCTAATAATTCTTTAAATTATTCATTTTCAAGATAATAAGGTTCAAGTAATTTTATAGCTTAAATACTATAATTTTCAGCTTTTAAAAGATAATTTAAGTGAAATCCCAATTTAGATGCTTCATTCATTTTCCATCCAATATATGGATGTTTATCATTATCATAATATTTGGGCATCAAAATAATAATTTCCTCTAAAATAAGAAATGCTTTTTTAAATTTTTATTGATTTAATAGAGTTAAATATTCTTATTATTTTAGATTTAATTAATCTATGTCTTCTTAATTATTAGTGTCTGTCTATTCTTATTGACATCTATCACAGTCACAAATAAATCCATATTATTATTACAAAAATTTTTATCTATCTTTAAAATTAATAATATTTCCATAACTTATACAAAGTTCTTATGGATCATTTTCATTTTAAATAAAAGAATTATTAGTTGTTATAATTAATTATCTTTGATTAAAAAAATGAGAACAATTAGCAACATTCTTTTATTTTAATGATGTTTTGATACATTTATGATTTAAAAAATTAGCAGGAGTATATAATGCAATTCCTAAAGTATCACCATTAATATCAGTTACAGTAAAAGTATTTAAATGAATTTTTACTTATATTGACATTAATTTTCCAAAACTTTCATTATCTAATTAACCAATTTTTACAATATAAGCAGCACAATCAAAAAATTATTAATAAGTTTATTAATCAATATTTTTATCTACATCTCCATAAAAATTCTAAATATCAATATTATTCTGAAATAGTCTTATGAGTATTAACATATTACATGGCATTTCCTTATTTATTTTACTCAATAATTAACATTCAATTTTATGTTATTTCCAATCATTTTTTTAACAAGACACAGAACAATAAAAATATTATTTACAAATTGAACAACGATTTGTTTAGGATCCTTATAAACAATAATTACAATGATTTGCTCTAAATTCTTTAAAGAGTACAATAGCTAATGGTTCACATCTCATAACTAATTGATCTTGTTTTGGTTATGCAAAATATCTTCTATCTTAAGGAGTAATGATTTTAATCATAAATTATAAAATAATCAAATTTATTATATTTATTATTATTATTATTATTATTATTATTACTAATTTGGAATTACTTAAACTTTCTTTTCATCCTCTAATTATTTATCTGTAATAAGTTTAGATATATATCCAAATATTTTAGTTCTACCTTCTCTAATTACAAGAATCTATTCAGTTTTTAGATATTCTGCAGCATAAAGAAATCGTAATCTTTTAATTAATTAAATTATTTACCTCACTGTGTCTACATCTCCAGTACGTAATACTTCATGTTAGAATATTTTCTTCATTTCTACAGCTTATCTAATAACACCACAATGCATAACTGCTTAATATCCATGACTCATTGTAGTAGGATGATGGAGTACATGAATATTAGCCTAAAATTATTATATATATATATTTATACTTCGAATTCTATAACTGGTTCAGGTTTCACTGCAGGATCAATTAATATCATTCCCTTTCTAAAATCAGCTCTATCTAATTTATCACCAGCCTTAGATGGTTTAAGAGCAAAACATGCAAATTCACCTACTTATGCTGATTCAACTGCCACTCTATTTATGTGTATAGATTTGATAGTTACTGGCTTAAATGCTAAATTACAATATATTTAATATATACTTTTTCCTTTATCTGGTCCCAATAAAGTATGTTAATTCAATCCTGCTTTTCCACTTCTTACTATTCCACTAACAACAACACCAACTCCAGGAACATTAAAATTCTCTTGTATATCAAATTAGAATGGATCATTTACTGATTAATAAGCTTTATTTATATCATCTCTATTTGGTACTCTACTTATGAAACGAGCTAATTATGATAATCCATTTCCTGTCACACTAGACACTTAAAATATTGGAACAACATTATTTCCATGCATAAGTGCTGCCCATTTATCAATTTCATCCATTCCAGACTTCTCATCAAATACAACTGCTGTTCTTTTTATTGCTGGACTACGAATCAAAGCTTTTATATTTTCAATTGTTTCATTATAAACATTTTATGGAGCTATATCAATTTTTGTTAACACTATTGCAAATGGTATTTTCAAAAATAAACTCACTCCCAAATGTTCTCTTGTCATTTTTGATACTCCCATATTTGCTCCAACTATAATTAAAGAATAATCTGGAATCATAGCAACTAAACCAAATATTGTAGTTTTTAAATATTTTTCATGACCACAAAGATCCAAAAATGTAACTATCTTTTTACTCTTTTCAACTACAAGACTCCAATATTTGTTCTTATTTTAATTGAATCTTTCAGGTAGTACTTACTTTAAATTTTCATCAAATCCCATTATTTCTTGTGCAACTGAAGATGTCCTTCCATTCTCTTTTTCATGCTTGTAATTAAAAACACGCTTTAATAAATTAAAATACAAACCTCTCTAGCACCACCTCTTCCATCATCTAATATTCCTTTTGTTAACACTCCAACTAATGTTGATTTACCTGAATCAACATTACCTATAATTGCCAATTTGCTATGTTCTAATCTCTATACTTACATAATTTTAATATATACTTATAATTTTAAATGTTTGAATATAGATATCAAATAATTCTTTATTAAAATATATATTTATATGTATTAATAGGTATAAATACAAATCATCAAATGATTTATCATTTGTTCAACTGGATATCTTAATTTTCAAAATCATTTGATGATTTGTTTGAATTGCTTTTATAATATTTTCTAATTGTTATTAATTTATAAAAATAATTTATTATAATGTTTTTTCTAAAATGAAGAATTTTATTTTTATAAATTATACAAATATTCTCATTCTAATTGCTTAGTTTATATTATATTATATGGCAATATTATCAAATTACCATATCTCTTATTTAATTATTACTTTTCATCCACTCATTTTTTAAGTTTGATTAAATAATTTAAGATCTATATATAATTCACAAAAATAACAGTTTTTGTACAGTTATTAAGAGTTCTAGATTCAAAAAATTTGAATTGAACCAATATATTGTATATATTTATTTATTAATATAAGTTGAGTAAATCGTCAGCAAAGAATACTTCTATTTCTACAATTGAAAATATTTTACAATATGAATTATATGTAAATTATTGATGGTACACCATAAAAGGAAAGATATTTAAATGAGCTATTTTTATTAACCATGTTTTAAAGAATATCCATTTGATAATCAAATATCATAGAAGACACATGACAATGAAATTTAAAATATAAATCCTCTAATGTGCCAGGATAGAATTTTTATGGCTTAGGATGTTTTGAAATATTGTTTTGATATGTATTTCTTTTATTGAAGAATGTTATTTGGAGATTTTTGTTTAATGATTAATGTACTTTTGTATAAATTGATAGTGTTAATTTTGAACATTTTTATAAAAATTAAAAATGCCTAAATACATTGATGTATTAACAATTGAATAGGCTTTAATAAAAGCTGGAAATGGACACTCATTTTAAAGAAGAGCACTTATTATTATGGGATTGTAATATATGATTGCAGGAATGCTCCATATAGCAATGACAGAACTATTCTTCCATCAATAATAATACAAATGTCTTTCAGAAGATCTGAATTATTAGAATTGTACTGAAGGAGCATTTTGTGAATAATATAAAACAAAGGAAAATAAAGTGTCATTAGTTGATCACTCTGATTTAGGTAGTTTGATTAAATACTTCTTAATGGTGTGTGGTGATAAAATTCAAATATTCATATTGGTCACATCTTATTATATTGGAGGTAGTATGGGTTCTTTGTATTATGGTGAATAAATGGAAATAAGATAAGGCAGATAGTACTTTAAATATATAATACTTTTAGCACAGTAATGATTGAAACATTATTAATGATGGGTTTTGTTTGTTGTATAAGTATGCTATCCCCTTCAGCATATATTTTAAGTGTGGCATTATTTGCAATAAATTTCTTTTAGAGAGGTTTTTTTAACTCATCTATGATATTGTTTTTTGAGATTTCAAGCGAGAATTTATAGAAATTTGGACCTGCTTTATTATTAACATGTTATGGAATTGGTGAGGTAATATCTCCAAGACTTATAGAAATGTTTAATTTAAATTGGTAATATTCAATGTTGTTATTATTTGGATTACCAGCAGTGTTATTTTCAGTGTTAATAAAATTTATGTAAGAATCACCAAGAATTTTGGTAATCAGACGTAAATTTGAGGAAGCAAGATTAACAATTAATTATATTGCTAGTGTAAATGAGAGATAAATGCCTGAAAATTGGTATTTAGAAGATGAGATTAGAATTTAAGAATTGAAATTAAAAATGAAAGATATTTTACTTGAGGAGGAGATTCATGAATAACCTAAAGGATATAACTTTTCTTCTATATTTAGATATAAATCAATTAGAATTAGAATGTTCTGTCTTCTTTATTTGTATAGCATTGTAGTATTAGGTTAATTTTAAACTGCTAAAGAGATAGAAAGATTTTCAAGATTAGAAAGACATCATACTTATCTACTATTATCATTAGTATCTACTGCTGGTTATTTGATAAGTGGATATGCTTCTTTAAATTATTTAAGAAAGGAAGTAATAAAAGCTATCCTTATTTTGGGTGCAATATTTCATTTCTTAATTGCTGCTTTGCCTTTATTAATTTTAAATAAAACAGCAAGTGATTTAATAACATTCTATGATAAATTAGTATACACATTTATAATGATGGTTTTAGTTATGTGTAGATTGACTTTAAGTTTTGCATATGGATTTATTAATGTATATCTATAATTTAATATTTTATAGGTTTATGCTTTAGAAATATTCCCTACTTCATTAAGACATTATGGATTTTGTGGACTTACTTTTTTAACTGAATTCCTATTTATATTTTAAGATTCTTATGTTATCTTTTGTCATGCATTTGGACTGAATTCATCTATTGGAATGTTTGCCTTATTACTTTTAGGATTATTAACTTTATAAAAATTGAGGGAAACTCAAGATTTACCACTCAAAGAAAATGTAGATGAAATGGAAGATGAGTTAATTAATAACATATATTATGCTTGATATGTATATACATTTTAGAAATAAGATTCATCGTTATCTAGATTTTCTTAATCTCTCCACGTGTATATTAATACAGTGTTTTGGAGATTATTGAGAAGTAGTTGAGTAGTAAGAAGATCCTTTTAATTAAGTTAATTCACTTCTTTCTGTTTTTAATAGGTTTCTTAGTCTATTACTATAACTCTATTTAGAAATTGAATGAGTTTATTATTGATATTGTGGCATTAATTTGATATAATGTGGAATTTCAATAGGAATTAGACAATTAGTACTAGTTATTGGTGGATGATGAATATGTTTATTGCTTAATGAAATTTGTCTAGTCAAATGAAAACGAGTTATTTCTGAATCTAAATTTAAAATGGTCTTAGGTGGAGGACGACAAGTAAGTAAGGATTCAGTTGCCTTTCTCCTCAAAAGTATTTATTTTGAATGTCTTTCTGCTTTTAATTCTGACTTTTTTGAACAATCATTAGTTAAATTATGATTTTCTAAAGTTGAAAGAAATTGCTAAGAACTTAAAGTCATCAATATAGTCTCATTACTTTTGCATGTAGCCTTTTGAGTTCTTTTAATTCCTTTAAGTATTTCATTTTCTCCAAAAATAGCTCCTTTAGTCATTAAAGATATTACAATCCTTTATCGATTATTTATTTTATATGATAATTCCACTTCTCCAGTCATTATAAAATAAACTGAATGTGATTCTTCATTCTCTTTATATATTGTACTGTTTAATTTTGGTTATATTTCAATCATTTGATGCATCAATTAAGTTAAATGTTAATCAGGTATTCCATGTAAATAAGGTATATTATCAAAAAAGGCTAATTACTATTTATGTATTGAATTGTGATGCTCATATAAAATACGATCGAAAGCATTTTTTTAAAGAGTCATAAAATGGCTATCAACACTACATATTATAGTTGCTGTTCTTTTAGATTTTGTTATAAGAGCCAATTCTCCAAAAGTATCTCCAGCTTTTAAAGTTCTAACTTTTATGAAGTCTGAATATGCAATTGTTAAGAATTCATTAAAATCACTAAATTATTTCCTTTTCTCATTTTCAATACGCTATCTTATTTAATCAACTGTTAATCGATGATTAAATAAATCTTCTTAAACCTAAGGCTTTGGAAGTAATACCACTACTTCCCCTTTCAGAATAATATAATAAGTGGATCCCATATCACCTAGTCATAATATTTACAAATACCATAATTAAATACAGATTCATAAGCTTAAACATTCTCATAATTAAGGTTCTTATAGATTTAAGTATAAAGATAAAGAGGAAGTTTAGCTTTCTACTCTTCAAAGAATTTTAAATTCCCAAAATTTTTCATTAGAAATTCCAGTTCTGTTTTTGTCAATTCACCACGTAGAAGCAATTCTATTGTAATCTAATTCTTAATTATATATACCTCATAATTTTCATTTTCATATTCTGTTATAGCCTATAATTTACGTCTAATTGATTTAAGCATATAAATATAATATATAAGTATATTAAACTTTCTTTTCTTACAAGCATTGTATTAAGAATAGTAAAATCAAAAATATCTAATATTTATCATAATAATTTTAGTAATTAAGAAAAGATACAAATAAATATTTATTTAACGACTGGTTAGATGATATAATAATTTTTTATTTTTTGACAAGTTCAAAATATTTTACTTCTCTTATTTCTTAATCACTGTAATTTCTTCTTTCAATTTCTAATTATTTTTGAAGTTCTTAGATGTTAAATCCTTAACCAATATTCCAAATTCTAATAGCTCCTATTTCATTTTTTTATATCACGCATATGATTTATAATTGATTCACAGTATCGATATTTGAAATTAAATAAATATCATTTATTTTTACACATTTCTTAATATAAGAGAAATTCTGCATAATTCCACTATTCATAATTTTATTTTATAACTTAGTTTATTAATTTTCTGGATCTTATAGATTCTCATAATTTTATAAAAGAAAATCATGATGATCAGACATTTTATTTATTGACAAAATAAATACTTAGTTTACTTACATTTTTTAACAAATGTTATGATTGAGGTTCTCTGAATAATTATCGGATTATTCTATAAATCATACTTTTGATTTAATCAAATCTATTTTAAAATCATTTTAATTCAATTATAAAATGAAAAATATATAAAATTAATTGTCTTAATTTTCTTTTTAAAAAATATGAGTTTGAAGTCAAAATTCAAAGAATTGAGAGCAAAAATAAAATTCAAAAAATGAATTCCTAAATCCCTATAACACAAAAATATACTTCAGTTGAGGATTATATTGAACATAGTTTTAATACATTTAAGTTAAAGAATCCTAAACTAACAAAAAGATAAATACATATATAATTACAAGATAATTGGAAAAAAGAATAACAAAAATATCTATCAATACATACTAAGAAAGAGTAAAATAGTATAAAGAAACTTGATGAAGATGATGAAATTTATATACCTATTGAGGCTCTAAATAATGAAACCCAAGTTTATATATACATATGATTTTAGATTAAAACAAATAAAAAGAAGAATTAAAATAAAAAAAGCACAAATAAAAACATAAAATAATAATAAAATTTGTCTAAATCATTTATTAACAAAAATAATACAGATTCATCTTAATATTCATTTGATATAAATTTATTAGAACAACGAGTATCTAAGATTTAAATTGATGAAATAAATTTATCAAAAACAAAACCTTCAAAAAATATATGTAGGTAACAAATTAATCAAACAAATGAATCAATTAATAACAATTAAAATAAAAAGAACAACAAAAAATAAAAAAAAGTGACTTATAAATAATCAGAAAAAATATCATAAACAATAGATTGTGAGAATGTTTCAAATGAAAAACCTATTCCAATTTAAGATTTTATAAATTCTGCAAATTTTATTGATTATATCAGTATTATTAAACTATCGTAAAAGAAAACAAATCAAGGATAGATTGAGATAGATAAAATTGAAACTATAGTTTCTCATACTTATGGACTAGTTAATCATTATAAAGACACATCAAACTTAAATCTATAATTATTTTTTCAAGTAAAATTTCATCCAAGATCAGATGGAACATAACCTGATAATACATTTTGTACTGCAAAATAAGCAGCATTTTATAATAAAGATTTGGTTTTGGATTATTTGAATAAAAATAAAAATATTTTTACTTAAGATTGTGAGTATTATATTAATTGAAAAAATTATTAATAGAATTATTACAAGAAATATAAACTATTAAGTATAATATTAAAATTTAATCTCAATGTTAGGTATGAAAACTTTTGCTTTATCTATAATAAAAATCTTTATCTTAATTATTTTCAATTTTACGAATTTCTACTTATCCTAATAATTATAAAAAACTCAAGATATCCTCTTTAATAGGTCCATTGGTTCTAATTTTAATTTCATATATATCATCCATTCTATTAGATTCTTATAATAATTATAATCCTTGCTAATTTACATTATTTTGTTTAGATTGCTATAAATTTTAATAATTAATTGAAGTAGCTAAATCGAAAGGATTTTCACCAAGATTAATTTTAACATCACTTTTTGATTCAAATAGATTTCTATTATTTTATTTTGAATTATCCACTCTATATTTTTATTCACTATTTTATAAGCATTATTTTTAGCTAGACAAAAATTAACTATCCTCACTTTTAGTTATTCTTGATGTATTTCTACTTGTTTAAGATTAAAAATTCAACAAATAATCATAAGCATTCTTAAAATTCATTTAACGATATAAAAATTTAATAATAAATTAATTATGCATATTTTCTAATTTCTATTTGAATAAAAATAGAATTATATATTAAGAATATAATTATTGAGTTATTATTTATTAATAATATTGATTGATATTTAATAAACTTATTAACTTGGAGAAAAATTGAAGAAAAATATTATTACTTAAGTAGATTAATTGAGTAATTTAAAGATCCTTTTGAATCCATAATTATTTATTAGATTTATTTGATATATAAGAAACAAAAGAGAATAATATAAAATATATGTAAATAATAAAAGTAAATTTTATAATATTCAAAAAAGTGTTATGAGTTAATAATATTAACAAATGATATATATTGAGATCATCTTTTGAAGTCTTTTTTATGTAAGATATATATCTAAATTCTATCACACTTATTAATATTATAAAATATAATTTGAATTTTTATATCAGAAAGATCAATTAAGAGATATTATAAATACTTTTAATCATTATATAGACATATTTATTCAAAGTTGTAAGCAGTTTAATAAATAAATTTAATTGAAAATTATCCTAATAATTTATCAGGATTGATCAGAGCTATAGAAAATTACTTAATATAATTTATTTGATACAAAAAATCATTTAATTAATAAAATGATTCAAGAAAACCTTGTTTTAAAATTGATCTTCAAAGATATTAAACTTAAATTTTCAGTCCCAGATCCTACTTAAACTATTGAATAACTCAAAGAAATTATAATATAAAAGTTATCAGAATAAGGAATAAATTTACAACCAAATAATGTATAATGTAATGATTCTGATGATTTTATGCTTAATTCATCAGATATTATTGGATAACTATTAAAATAAAATGACACAGTCAAATTAGTAGAGAAGATAGCAGATAATATAATATAATAATAATAATAATAATAATAACAATAATAATAATAAGATAATACAGAAGCACCTCAAATAATTTAATAATAAGATCCTGCTGAAGCAATTGTTGTACTTTATGATATATCAGGTTCAATGAGTTCATAATTTTTTGGAGATAAAGAACTTTCAAGAATGGGTGCAGTAAATGCCTTCTTTTCAGCCTTTGCTGATAAAACTTTAGCTTTTGAATTTAATCACATTGTAAAATTAGTTTGGTTTGGATCATAATTATATGATAAATGTGAATTTACAAGTGATTTTAATAAATTTATCAAATTGGTAGATGATGCTAATCCTGGAGGATCAACTAAATGTTATGATGCAATTGATTATGCTATTAATAAATTATTAGAAGTCAAATAAAAATATCCAGATATTGTATTGAGAATACTTGCATTAACAGATGGAGAAGATAATGCTTCTACTAGTAAACCTAATACTTTAGTATAAAAGATATTTGATCATAAAATCATTATAGATTCATTTGTTGTAGGTGAAAATTGTGTTGGTTTAAAGACATTGACTCATGCTAGTAATGGTAGATGTTATTGTCCAAGAGATTTAGGATAAGGGATGTCTCTATTTGAAATAGAAAGTATTTTAAGTACTAGCAGAAGAGAAAAAGTAGAATAGGCAACAAATGTTGTAGATTTGGATGCAATTAAAGGAAAACCATTTGATACTGAAGGAATGAAGGTTGTGACTTTAGATGTATCAAATAGAGCAGTTATGAAAAGAGAAGAAATTGTTAAAAGAGCCAAAGAAGCAGAAGCTTAGGATAATCAATAAACTACTTCTACAGGTGTTGAAGGAAAAAAGGCTGCCGTAGGAAGTGGTGGAAGAGATAGAAGAGTATTGAAAGAATTAAATGATGCTGTAACTAAAGGTTATGGTGAATGTAAAATATATCCAACTGCAGATGATATTGGAATTTGGAAAATATTAATAATAGGTCCTAAATGTACTCCATTTGAGAATGGTATTTATTAGTTAACATGTGTAATTCCTTAAGATTATCCATTTAAACCTCCTAAAATTTCATTTGTTACTAAAATGCATCATCCTAATATAAGCAAAGCTTCTGGAGCACTATGTTTAGATGTATTAAAAGATAGATGGAGTCCTGCTTTGACTGTATTTTCAGTCATCCTTTCTATTAGAAGTTTATTAACTGATCCAAATCCAGATGATGCTTTAGATAGTAATGTTGCAGCTGAATATAAACATGAAAAAAAATTATATGAAGAAAATGTAAAAAAAGAAAAGCTACTTTATGCTAGTCCAACAGTTGAAGATTTATTAAAGGATGTATTAGGTTCAGTTAGTGTTGATTCTCAAGAATATAAAGATGCTCATAAAGATCTCAGTGAATGGATAAAATAGTATGCACAATGATTCATTTATTATTATTAAAATAATCATCATTATATCAATTATCTTGTTAAAATATTCTATATTATTTATTGTATAGATTAAACTAATATAATTAACTAATAAATTTAGATATTGTTAAATAATAGAACTTTAATTCAAATTGCATACAAAAAAAATAAAATATATTTTAATTGAAACAGTCTCCGAAATCATATTATGAAAAATAATTTTAATATATTTATTTATGATTTCTATTTAATAAGGAGATAAATTAGAATGCTTTAAGATTGATAATCACTTCATTGGAACTTTAACATTATTAAATAATTATCCATCTCAGTATTTCGTATTTGTTATCTATAGTCAATGTGGTTTCAAAATAAGAACCAATAATACTCAAGACATTCAAGTGTTACCTCATATAGGTTCCTTTAAAGGATAATCTTACAAAATTACAGTTAAATGTGAAAAGTTCTAAAGTAAGTATTATTATAGATGATTAAGAAAATGCTAAATTGTAAATATTGGTAGCTAATATAAATGATCAAAATTTCAATAAAAATGATCCAAAGTTGCTAGCATAATATTTTGAGGCAAATAGTAATAATCCATAAATTGAAAAAATAAAAATTGAGATTGTTACTATTGATTAGAATTTATTAATAAAGTAATCAAGTATAATCAATTAATCAGCTTTTTAAAATAGATATTATGAAGATCAAATGTATGGAAAATAAGAGTTTACATATAAATAAAATGATCTTTTAATGAAAACTGGATAGCCATAATCATAATAAATATAAGATGCTTCTTAATCTATAAGTAGAGAATTTAATGATGACTAAAGATATTTTATTACGTAACCTACATTTTAGATACAATATCAAACATTTTCAAAATAATCTTCAGGTTCTTAAAATAACATTTTGAATGATTAAACTCAAAAGTTATAAAAGTATCCATATTATTAGCCTTAAAATTTGAATGGTTTTAATTATAATCTTGATGAAGATCCTTAAATAAAAATGTTGAATTCTAGAATCTAATCATTGTAAAATGACCTTGAAAAATAACAAATTGAAAAAAAGAGTTTAGAATAATAAAAGCATTTGCTTATAAGTAATTATTAAGAAAAAGATTAATAAATATTTGTTACTATTTAACATGTATTATTCTCAGCAATCCTTTGTTTTCTAATAGGTTATGTAGCCACAAATTGATGATATAATATATTTTTATTTTAATATAGTAATTTAGAGATTTAATTTCTATTTATTAACAACGATCAGATTCATATTAATTTTTGAGATTTGTTAAATAATAATTATTAAGATAGGATATTATAAATTTATTTCAAATTGATATATCTAATTCTTATTAAGTAAAGTGTTGAAGCTTATGAATATTTATGAAATTGAATTATAATAGCTGAATTACAACATAAGTTATTTTCATTTTAAATAATTATTATTATACATTGATATCCAGTAATTAAAAAATAAATTTTGAAAATATTCTGTTACACTGATATCAAATTTGATGCGTATTAAATTATTAGTATTGTTTAGTATGACGAATTCTATTCGTTTATTTTGAACACATTTAATTGATTTTTGCATCCTTTTAAATAATTAAAAGATGAATACTTAAGCTAATGAGATTGATCCTCTATAGAAAGAAACTAAGAGAAGGGTAACCTAACCATTATCTTATTTATAACTTTACAGATTTGCTAATCAAATGGACTATATATGGATAGTAGTTAGCATAATTGGAGCAATATGTAATGGTTTATCAATGCCAATCTATTCGATTATTTTTGGAAACCTGACTGACTCATTCGCATATGAAGATTCAGATACTAAATTAAATAAGGCAGGTCTTAATACAATGTATATATATTTATCTTAATATAAAAGTTACATGTTTGTATTGGGAATCTGCACTCTTTTGGTGACTCTAATTATGTATACAACATTTTCAATAACATCAGAAAATTAAACAAAAAGATTGAGAAGACAATACTTAAAATCATTGTTGACTAAATAAGTGAAATGGTATGATGAAATTAATGCAAATTCTTTAAATACTAAAGTGAATTCAGAAATATTAGCAATATCAGATGCCATAGGAGATAAGGTTATAACATTTGGATTTTCAATTGCAACATTTTTAAGCGGTTTTTTAGTTGGATATATTAAGTAAAGCATATTAGTTAATAACAATAGAGGATGGAAATTAGCTTTAGTGATTACATCTGCTCTACCTGTTCTAGCTATTACGATTGCTCTTATTGGTATATCAGCATCATGGAGAGAGTAATTCATTTAAAAATCTGATATTGAATCCTCATCATTAGTTGAAGAAGTAAATTCTAATTAAATTTATATAAGGTATTAAGTTCAATTAAAACAGTTAAAACTCTTAATGGAGAAGAATTCGAATTTGAAAGATTTAGAAAGATTATAATACATTCATCTAAATCCATAATTAAATATGGATTATATTATGGTTTAGCATTTGGATCAATGTGTGGAGTTTAACAATTTACTTATGCTTTAGGTATTTTTTATAGTGGAGTACTTGTGACTGATTAAGTAAGAAATTTTAATTAAATATGAGATTGACCCTAATTATTAAGGTCCAATATATACTTCTGGAAGTATTTGTACTATTTTTATATCTGTATTAATGGGCAGTTTGTCATTAGGTAAGATTGGTCCATGTTTATCATGTTTTGCAAAAGGTAAATTAGCTGCAATGGAAGTATTTTAAATAATAGATGAGAGTCAAGAATAAGAGATGAATAATATTTATAAAGATTTTGAGAATCTTAATGGTGATATCAAAATTCAAAATATTTCATTTAGTTATCCATCAAAACCAGATCATATGGTATTGAAGAATATTACATTTGTTATACCAGAAGGAAAGAAAATAGCTTTAGTTGGTGAAAGTGGTTCTGGAAAATCTACAATTGGTTAACTTCTTTTAAAATTTTATGAAATTGAATATGGTTAAATTTTAGTAGGAAAAGATGAAATTCCTTTGAGTTAAATTGATACTCATTAATTCAGATAATAAATTTCTATTGTTTCTTAAGAACCAGCATTATTTAATACTACAATACGTGAAAATTTAAAATTAGGAAATTAAAAAGCTTCAGATGAAGAATTAAAAATAATATTAAATTTGATGAATTCATCAGAATTAATAGATCATTTAGATACAAATGTAGGATTTAATGGGAATTAATTTAGCGGTGGTTAAAAATAACGTATAGCTTTGGCTAGAGCATTACTTTAAAATCCTAAAATTTTAATTTTAGATGAAGCTACAAGTGCTTTAGATAGAACAAATGAATAATAAATAACAAGAATTATTGATGAAAAATTCAATAAAATTACAAGAATTGTTATTGCTCATAGATTATCTACTGTATAAGATAGTGATAATATAATTGTATTTAATTAAGGTGAAATTATAGGATAGGGAACTCATGAGGAATTACTTTAAAATTGTGAACATTATTCTTATTTAATATCAAAATAATAATAAAAAGAAGAAGCTGGATATGGAACACAAACATATTTAGAAATAGAAACATAAAGAAAAATAACTGAAAAGTCATTCAGTAAAATAAATAATAAATAAGAGAATGATTAATTTGATAAATCAAAAATTTAGATTTTAAATACATAAAATGATATAAAATAATAGTTAGGATAGGAATTTAATGATGAAAATAAAGTAGAATCAATAGATAATAAATCAGAGTTATCATTTTTGAAAAGCATTAAAAGTTTAATACTTTTAAATTATAAAGAATTACCATATCTTATAATTGGATCTATTGCAGCATTAGCAAATGGATCAATATATCCAATATTTTCATAAATATTAGCAGATGTAATAGATAATTTATTAATTCATAATCCTTAAAGAGTAAATTCAATTTAAAATGAATATGAAAGATAATAATAAATTAATGCTCTTGATAATACTCTTAAAAACAGTTCTACTATTCTACTTATTTTAGGATTTATATATTTTATAACAAGTGCTTTAGAATGTTTTTGTTTTAGTGTATATTCTGAACGTTTAACTATAAGAATGAAAAATGAAATTTATTAGAAGTTTTTAAGACTTCCCATAAGTTTTTATGACAATCCAAATAATAATATAGGTTTTTTAACTCCTAAAGTAACAAATGATACAAGAGTTGTTTAATAATTCTTTTAAAATATTATAGGATTTAAATGTTAATATTATTCTGCTATCATAGTAGGATTTTCTTTGTCATTTGTATCATCATGGAAACTAACATTATTGGCTGTTGGTTTGGCTCCAATATCATATATAGGTGGATGTTTAAGTGAAAGATATGTAGTAGGTTCATAACAATCATTTGCCTAAAAAGTATATATCAATAGCAACAAGTTGTTGATGGATACATTAACAAATATAAGAACAGTCTATTCATTAAGAGCAGAAACTTTTATTGTTAATTAATATGCCAGCTTATTAGAAGAACCTTCTAAATAAGTAAAGAAATTTGGTGCTTAAATTGGATTTAGTTCTGGATATGCTTAAATGAAACCATTTATTGTAAATGGTTATTTATTTTTAATGGGAACACTTTTAAATATATATGATGATCTTCCAATTTTGGCTATTTATTAAACTATATTAGCCATAATATTTTCAGTTGTTGGAGGAGCTAAAACTATTTATTTTTAATCAGATAATAATAAAACTAAGAATTCAATTGCCTATTATTTTAGTCTCTTAGAAACATAAGATGAATTTTAAAGAGAAGAGAAACATTAAAATCCAAGAATTAAAAAAAACATAGTTGGAAATATTGAATTTAAAAATGTAACTTTTTCTTATCCTCAAAGACCTAATATTATTGTTTTGAATAATTTAAATCTTAAAATTGATTCAGGACATAATGTTGGTTTAGTAGGATGTTCTGGATGTGGTAAATCAACTATTTTTTAACTTCTATTTAGATTTTATGATGTTAATTCTGGAGAAATTACACTAGATGGTTTATCAATTTATGATTATGATCTTAGATTTCTTAGATAATAAATTTCAATGGTTTCTTAAGAACCTTAACTCTTTAATGAGTCAATATCATATAATATTAGATACAATTTATAAAATATTACTCAAGATGATATCATTTAAACATCTAAATTATCACATGCTTATGAATTCATTATAAATGAATAATCTGAAGATTAATCAAATTCAGGTTTTAATAAAAATGTTGGCACTAAAGGTAGTCTAATTTCAGGAGGTTAAAAATAAAGGATAGCTATATCTAGAGCTTTATTGAGAAATTCAAAAATTTATTTATTTGATGAATCTACTAGTGCTTTAGATTCAAATGTAGAATCTTTAGTATAGTAATAATTGGAAGAATATTTAAAAGAAAAGACTTCAATTGTAATAGCTCACAGAATGTCTACAATAAAAGTAAATATTTATTATTAATTAGAATTGTAAAATTATTTATGTATTTGATAAAGGTTAAATTATTGAGTAAGGCAATTATGCTCATTTAGTTAACATAAAAGGCCATTTTTATAAATTAGAATAAGGTCTTTTAAATAAGGAGGAGTAAATTACTTCTTAATAAATTTTAAATTGATTAATCTAATGTATATTTAATAGAATAAAATTTTATTTTTATTTATAGATACTAAAAATAATAAAATATTTTATTCAAGAATTATTCTAATTAATTTCTGATTTGCAATCACCAAAATGATAGATTTTATAATTGATCATCCTAATATAATTAAATAAAATGATTTGTTCACGTCTTAATATCTATTTATTTTAAAAATATGATAGTATTGGATAATTTAAATTCTATAATATTCAAATCATAAATTACTAGTAAATTTTAGAATACTTTATTTGGGATATTCAAATAAATATTATTATCATTTTTCTAAAATTAATATGTATCTTAAGATAATTATTTATTGAATTCTTAGCAGTCTTTTTTATTGCTACGCTATTAATTTAATAAATTAAAAAAAGCTAAATTCAATTCACCAATATTTGTTCCAATATCAATTTTTGGAAATGATGTCATAAGAAATTTACCTGATTTATTTTATAGATTTGAATAATACATTAATTATTCAATTGGTCTTTGCAATACTAGAGTTGTTATAATGAAAGATATAAAAAATATGAAAAAGGCTAAAATTATCATACCAATTAAGAGAGTAGCCATTTATTCATTTTTTTAATTGATTTCCTCTAATAATGAATTCATAACACTAGAATATAGAAATGGATCAAATTTAGCAACAACAATATATTTATTATTCATAATTAAACCTAATTTAAAATAAAATAATTTTTGTTTTAACTTATCAAATAAACAAAAGGTATTATTAATTTTTATTTAACATAAATCTGTATATAAAAGATTTTATTAATAGTTTAAAAGAATGGCAAAATCAGTTTCATTAAAACCTGTTTTAGTAACATTTTAAAAATAATCAACAATTTCTTATCCTTTTTCATAATGATTACTCAATAAAATTTAACCTTTAAAATCAATTAAAAGAAATTCAGCTATTTAATTATATGTAAAACTAGAAAATTATGCCATTGTTATATCATTTGCTATGATACCAATTGAAAGATTATGTTCATTTGTTAATGATTTAGTTTATGTTAAACATACACCACCTCCATAATCAATATAGGCAGAAGTATATTAAATTTCTAAGTTACTTTAATTGTGTTATTGATACCATGGCCGTTATTTAGGAATCCAAGCTGATGGTACATTTTAACATGGTTTAAATGTATAAAACTAATCATCAGTATTTGAGGAATAATATAATTAAGTATAATTTGATTAAATTGTAGATGTAATACTTAGAATATTGCTCAATCTAAGTTTATCATCATATTATAAAAGACTATTACCAGCTAAACCATAACAAAAACAAAATGATCTTTCTATTTGTGACATTAATTCTGAATTACTAGTAAATGTTTAACATATATCTAGGTTTTATTGAAACTTCAAATTTTTATCTTAAGCTACAAAATACAATGAATTTATTGCATTTAATGATTGACTCCTTTAAAAAAATCCATTATTTATCTATTAAATAAATTAAAATAGATAATTCTCAGATATTCGATTCATCTCTTTTTATGTTAATACCTACTAAGAATCTATAGCTAAAGTGTTAATAATATTTTTTTAAATTATTAATGTCAAACAAGTGAGGCAAGTAGTTATGATAACTAAATAAATTATTTACAAAATTAGGACTTAAGTTCTCAGTCTTAGATTTGAAAAACACTATGAAAATGAGCTTCTAAATTTAATTTATTTTTATTTCATATAAATATTAATATCATCAATTTGTATGAATATATCAAATTATACAATTGATATATCTACTATTACACTAATTATTTCATCTTATTTAATTCTTATTTAAACATCTACTATTAGAATTCTCAAAAAATAATTGTTTTAAAATAAGTTTTTGTTAATTATTGTTTACATTATTAAATAAACTTATTTAATAAAATACAAAACTTCCTAAAAAGATACTTACATTAAAAAAAAGATTTATGAATAAATACTAAAATTCTCGTTACATTACTTTTAGGCTACATGATGTTCTAGAATAATAAATCATTTAGAAAGTTTTCACTTATTGAAGAAACAAAAAATTTAATAATTAATATATTATTCTATTGTCTCTTATCATTATAAGGTAATAATTGAACTATATTTATATATAATAACAAATAACTTTTAATAATTTATTATAATAAGTATTATTATTTCTAATATATTTTATTATTATATAAATTTATGAATTTAGGTTTTTAATCAAAATCAGATTCTATGTCAATTACTTTGAAAAAAGGTTTACTATTTGAAATAATATAAAGTGCTTGATGAGTTTACACAATTAAATGAAACAACAAAAGAACATTATGCAGTAATTTTGATAAAGGTGATGATAAATTTGATCAAAAATAGTAAAGGTAAATTTATGTACTTATTAAGAAATGACAATGTAAGGTTTAACACATGAAATTAAAACAGCAGGAGAATATTTGATTAATAATGCATAAGCTGGACATGGAAGATCAGAATTAGTTTTAAGATCAACTTAGACTATATATTAGCATTATATTAGTAAAGGTTTACAACACTCAAAAGCTGATAGCATGGAGGCATTGTAATCATCACTTATAGAAATTTCATAAGAGCTAATAGATATAATCATTCGTTCAAAAGATAATATTAAGACCTAATGCTTAAAATTCTTTAATAATAGATTTGTAAATGAGAATTTTTATATTAGAAAGTTTTGGTTGTTGGATACTCTAATGTTGTTATCTATTCTTTGATAGAGGCATTTAAGGCTGGAATAGTTATGCAAATTTATATTCCTGAATGTAGGCCAAAATCAGAAGGAATAGAAACATATAGATAATTGACAGAAATTGGATATCCTTGTAAATTAATATTTGATTCTGCTATTGGATAAGTTATGGAAAATATAGATATGGTCTTAACAGGAGCTGAAGCTGTAGTTGAAAATGGAGGTATAATCAATAGAGTTGGAACATATACAACTGCTATTTGTGCTAAATTCTAAAAAAAACCATTTTATGTTTTAGCTGAAAGTTTTAAGTTTACACGTTTGTTTCCTTTATCATAAAAAGATTTAAGTGATTCAATCAGATATAGCTAAGAAGAACCATAATTTTCAGAAAAATTGAAATTACCTGAAAATTTGGATGTAATTTAATAAATATATTTAATTTAGTTTATCAATCCTTTATGTGATTATACTCCACCAGATTTGATTACATTATTATTTACAGATTTAGGAGTTTTCACTCCGTCTGCTGTTTCAGAAGAATTGATTTAAATATTTAACACTTGAGAAATAAAAGTATAGTTCTATGTTCATAAATATTCATAAATACACTTACAAATATTTATCTATTTATAATTATGTAATGAATAAAATCACATTTATTAAAAATGTTTATAGTAATATATAAATATATATATATATAAAAAGTTTCATAATTAATAAATAATATCTTTTAAATCCATTCTCAATAATTATACAAATTGCCCTTCTTAATTTAAAAATTCTTTAATAGAATTTATATCAATTTTAATTTCATTATTTACTAATTCTAAGAATGTACTTATTATTTTCTTAAAGTTTAAAATCAAATTTTTAATTTCCTTATCATTTAATTTACCAATTACATAAAAATTTTCTAAACATTTTATACCAAAAAATCTTTTAATTTTTCTTTATAATTCTAAAACTATTTCTCTTTTGATTATTTGTCCTTCCTAAATTTGATAATAATTTATTTTTATAGTTCTTATTGTTTAATATATAAAGATTGCATTTTATATTTGTTTAACTTATTCTTCATCCTTCTCCTTATAATAAACTACACAATTTTCATTATCTCTTTGAATAATATAAGACTAAATAGAGATTGAAATATAGATATACTCGATTTAATAAATTTTGAGAAAATTAAGTGAGTTCATCTTCTTATATTGATTTAGGAATATCAACCTAAGTAAACAAAGTCTTTTTATTGTCACTTTCAATAATTATTTTTTTATTCATTGAATCATAAATTCCTTTCAAAACATCAAAACCTATGAATTCATAGGCAGTTTATGATTTTACCAATTTAAAAATTTTAGCTTAAATTACAAAAGAATTTACCTTATAGATTTTAAGCTAAAATTCTAAGTTAGTTTTCTTAAAATAAATAGATTCCCTTTTCTTCTGAAAATCTAAGATTATTTATAATTCTGGAAGATATTTTATTAACAAATTGTCTATAATTTTCATTTCTAAATGTATAAGAATATCTTTGCTAGGTGGATTTTGTTTCAATAGCTAAATATATTATTTAATTTCTGGAACCTACATCTAATGTACCTTAAATATCAATTTTAGCTAATTTAAATGTTATATGTCTTCTATAATGATCAAATTTGAATTTTTTTTGGAGTTTAAGAACTGCATTTTCATGGATTTTTGAATAAACCTTTAAAAAAAATTAATTTTTCCAATTAACAAGAAATCCTTTTAAATATTTTTATGGCTTCTTAAGTGTTTTTTCTACATTTTCAACTTTAAAATAAGTTGGCTTAATTTTTATATTTTCTATTTCTGCCCTTGCTTAAAATAATTATTATTCTCTATTGATTAGAATATGAATAAATATTAGTTTTCCATTTATTTTATTAATTCCATTAATTATACCTACATTATCATAACTATATGGATTTTTTAAAGAAACTAAATGGAAAATTAAATAATTACTTTCTTAATCAGAATCAATAATTTCCTTCATTAAATCTGGTAATTGTAAACTTGTTTATTTACTATAATTTTTATTTTGTTGAAAAGGTATTTGAAATATATTCATTTAAGCTTTTTCATCTGGAAATGCTTGACTGTTTTATTTAGTCTATTCATCTTGATTCTATTTTGATTGGTCCTTATTATTATCATCCTAGTTTGATTAAAAAGATTAGCTTTCTACATAATATTCCTTCAATTTTGTTCCTTCTTAGCCACTATTATTGTTTAAATCTTATTCTTTTTGATCTTCTTCTTCCTCTTCTAAAATTGTATGATTTATTGAAGGTTTTTCTTTATTTTTATTTGTGTTATCTATTTATTAATAATCTGTTTCAACATTATTGATTACACCCATCATTGAATTATTAATACTAAATTCATTGTATTAAAGAGTAAAATCTAAATTTAAGTTATTTTCCTTAATTTAATTTTATCTTTATTTTTAATACTCATTCTCTTCTTCTGGCTTATCTAGATCTTGTTAAGATTATAATTATTAGAAGGATTAGATATTATTATTAAATTATCCAGTCTCATTACCTTTTTCCATATCATCACTTCCATTTTTTCTTTCTTATTGAACCTAGCTAAATTGAATTTCTTAATCTTCTGAAGGCTGTTCCTACTCTTGATTTAAATTCTTTTCTTAATTCTCTATGTTTAATTCTTATATAATTTATTCTTGAAACAAAGGAATATCTTAAAAAGGTTATTAAAGTAATTCTTAATTTATTTAAGGTGATTTTTAAATTACAATAGAATCTATATTAAATGAATTAATATCTGCAATAGTAGTTGGAACTTGAAGATTTTGAATACTATCTTCAAATTTAGGATAATATTCAGATAGTTTTAATTATTGTACATCAAATTTTATTAAACTTTATTTTTCTATTGATTTTATTTCAATTTCTTATAGATGAGTTTGAATAATAAGTGATTATTTATTGATATGAATAATTGGTAATAATTATTTTTCAAAATTCTCTAAAATGTCTTTAGTAATTTGAATAGTAGATGAAATACTTAAAATTAATATATGTATTAATTTTTCATTTATATTTTTGCATTTTCTCTAAGATTTTCTTATTATATAAAAATCAATAAACAAAATATCTAATTAATTAATATCTTTATAATTATAACCTAAAAATAAAATACCATTATGAATATTGTTATTCTCATCCATAATTCTAGAGTATTATTTTTCTGTGACTAATTAATAATTAGATTATAATTTTAGAATTCGTTCATTCAATTTAATTTAACTTTATTTCCATATTTTTTAAATTTAATTAATTCCTTATAATTTTTGCTCTGTTTTAAATACTTTAACTTTTTATTGAATTATTTATTCTACTTAATTTTCAACAATCTATTTATTCTTCTATTAATAATTAACTTCATTAATTTCTTCTAAATCTTCAATCTACTTATATGATATATTTTATTAAAAATAATTATTTTTAAGTGATGAATCCTATTCAAATTCCAATTTTCTATTCAAACTCTAAATTGTTTCATCTTAAACTCCTTTTTATTCAAGTGTTGTTTCAAAAGACAATCTTTTATGTTATTCTTCTTTTTTTTAATTTTTATCATTAGTACTAATTTAATTATTCAATAAGTTTTCTTCTATTTCTATTTCTGTTTTATTTGATCTGATCTATTATTAAATAGCAACTAAAGGTTTAGGTTCACTTTCATTTAAGATTTCTTAAATTTATGGATCTGTATTAAAAATTTATTTAGTCTAATCTATTGATTATTTCATCTCTCTAGAAGTTTGATTTGAGTGTTTTGATTATTTCTTTTATAGTATTTATTAATTAATATAACGAAAAGCTTCTAATTTTTATAATTCTCTTTATTTCTCTTCCTAAATTCTTTTTAATCTCTCTTATTCTTTTTATGCTTGCTGATAATAATAATATGAATAATTACTGATTATAAATTTTATATACAACTTTACAATAACTTAGTTTTTTCTAATTTTTCAATTTCAGACTTTGTATTATCTTCACTAAATTGATTTAATGTACGATTTGTAGCAGACATTTATTTATGAATAGTATATCCTTCTCTTTTAGTAAAATCAAATGATTTTAATTTAGGTTTTTGTGTTTAACTCATCATTGCTGATTATGGTCTAAGTGAATTACCTAATCTATTTGATTCTGATTAAAATAATCTATCAGTAACATTTTTTACAGTATCTAATTGTTAATTCCTTAAAACATTTTAATCATATTGACTTTTAATATTTGATCTAATTTAAAATTTATGATGCAAAGAAGTAATTGCAATCTTTTAACCTTCAGCCATTGCTAATTATCTAGCAAATTCTTCATATATATTTTTAAGTTGAATTGTTAAATAATGATGAATTCCTAAATTATCTTCAGCCACTTTAAATGCTGATGCATATGCCTATAATGCAAATTAATATCTTTAAAAATGTTATTCTTATACTCCAACATTGTAAAAAGAGATTGCCAATGAACTTACACAACGTTAAAATTTAAAAGTTTACATTGATACATGATTTTTTATATAGTATTAATATTCTTTATGACTTTCTGTAACTGCCTTCTTAGCATTTTCTAAAGCTCCTTCATGTCTAAATGCTAATATAATTACAATTATACTCTTTCACTAAAGATAATACTACAGATAAATTTAGATGAGTTACTGCAACTTCTTTCAAACTATATTTTTTAATCACTGCCAATGCATATTCTAATTCTTTTAAAGCTTTTTCTAATTATCCAACTCTTCTATAATAACAACCTAATCCATTTAGAATCTAAACTCTAAGATAACCTTATTATTTTGGTTTCAATCCCTTAAACATCTAATCACAACCTAGTAGCAAAAGCAATGCTGAAGCTGGATCATCTTCTAAAATTGACATAGCACTTGATACAACCAATAATATAACTTTCATTATCATTTATACTTGAGATTGTTAACCCAAATATTTTTTCCCATCAGAAACCACTACAATATTATTATTCATAATACTTTAGTTTAATATGAAAATTGCTTGATTTACTTAATGATTATTAATCAACTGTAAAGCTTCAGTCAAAATAGGGTCATCATGGCAATCTAATTCTTGGCCAATTTAATTAATATCCCAAATCACATTTATTGTATTATTTTATGGAGTTGTTATACCTGAATATCTTAAGTTTGAATGTCCTGATACATTCGATACAGAGCGTGTTTATATTTTTGATTTAAGTTATTTAATAAACATAATTAATGAGAGAATCAATAATTGAATTCAGCAAATATCTTGTTAGAGTCAAGTCTAAGGATTTTTTATATATTTAGAATTATTAATGTATATAGTTCTAAGTAACATATAACAAAAACTATGAAATGTAAAAAGAATAAAATTAATATACTAAATTTCTATGTCTAAATAAATTTTAATTTGTATTTCTCGATTTTTCATTATGGAATATCTTGTATAAATTGATACATTTGATGATATAGAAATTATTTAATTTTATTTTTGAAACAAT